CACACTGCATGTTGTCAACCTGCAGCCCAAGCTCCCCACATCCCCAGCAAGTGTTGTTTGCGATTCAGTTCCCACATCCAGCCACAACACCTGCATGTTGCCAACCTGCAGCCCAAGATCCCTGCATCCGCAGCATGTGTTGTTTGCGACCCGCTCCTCACATCCAGCCACAACACCTGCAGGTTGCCAACCTGCAGCCCAAGACCCCTGCATCCCCAGCATTTGTTGTTTGCGACCCAGTCCGCACATCCAGCCACAACACCTGCAGGTTGCCAACCTGCAGCCCAAGACCCCTGCATACCCAGCATTTGTTGTTTGCGACCCAGTCCCCACATCCAGCCACAACACCTGCAGGTTGCCAACCTGCAGCCCAAGATCCCTGCATCCGCAGCATGTGTTGTTTGCGACCCGCTCCTCACATCCAGCCACAACACCTGCAGGTTGCCAACCTGCAGCCCAAGACCCCTGCATCCCCAGCATTTGTTGTTTGCGACCCAGTCCGCACATCCAGCCACAACACCTGCAGGTTGCCAACCTGCAGCCCAAGATCCTTGCATCCCCAGCATTTGTTGTTTGCGCCCAGTCCGCACATCCAGCCACACACAACACCTGCAGGTTGCCGACCTGCAGCCCAACACCCCAGCATGTGTTGTTTGCGACCCAGTCCTCACATCCAGCCACAACACCTGCAGGTTGCCAACCTGCAGCCCAAGATCCCTGCATCCCCAGCATTTGTTGCAGGTTGCCAACCTGCAGCCCAAGATCCCTGCATCCCCAGCAGTTGTTGTTTGCGACAAGTCCTCACATCCAGCCACAGCGCCTGCAGGTTGCCAACCTGCAGCCCAAGATCCCTGCATACCCAGCATTTGTTGTTTGCGACCCAGTCCCCACATCCAGCCACAACACCTGCATGTTGCCAACCCAAGATCCCTGCATCCCCAGCATTTGTTGTTTGCGACCCAGTCCTCACAGATCCCTGCATCCCCAGCATTTGCTGTTTGCGACCCAGTCCTGACATCCAGCCACAACACCTGCAGGTTGCCAACCTGCAGCCCAAGATCACTGCATCCCCAGCATTTGTTGCAGGTTGCCAACCTGCAGCCCAAGATCCCTGCATCCCCAGCAGTTCTTGTTTGCGACAAGTCCTCACATCCAGCCACAACACCTGCAGGTTGCCAACCTGCAGCGACTCAGTCCAACACCTAGCTTGCCAACCTGCAGCCCAATCCCCCTGCATCCCGAGCATTTGTTGTTTGAGTCCCCACACTGCATGTTGTCAACCTGCAGCCCAAGCTCCCCGCATCCCCAGCAAGTGTTGTTTGCGATTCAGTCCCCACATCCAGCCACAACACCTGCATGTTGCCAACCTGCAGCCCAAGATCCCTGCATCCGCAGCATGTGTTGTTTGCGACCCGCTCCTCACATCCAGCCACAACACCTGCAGGTTGCCAACCTGCAGCCCAAGACCCCTGCATCCCCAGCATTTGTTGTTTGCGACCCAGTCCGCACATCCAGCCACAACACCTGCAGGTTGCCAACCTGCAGCCCAAGATCCCTGCATACCCAGCATTTGTTGTTTGCGACCCAGTCCCCACATCCAGCCACAACACCTGCATGTTGCCAACCCAAGATCCCCAGCATTTGTTGTTTGCGACCCAGTCCTCACAGATCCCTGCATCCCCAGCATTTGCTGTTTGCGACCCAGTCCTCACATCCAACACCTGCAGGTTGCCAACCTGCAGCCCAAGATCCCTGCATATCCAGACAGCCACAACCCAAGATCCCTGCATTCCGAGCATTTGTTGATTGCGACCCAGTCCTCACAGTCAGCCACAACACCTGCAGGTTGCCAACCTGCAGCCCAAGATCCTTGCATCGCCAGCATTTGTTGCTCGCGACCCAGACAAGACCTGCAGGTTGCCAACCTGCAGCCCAAGATGCCTGCATCCCCAGCATTTGTTGCAGCCCAAGATTCCTGCATCCCCAGTATTTGTTGTTGGCGACTGCATTGCCAGTATTTTGTGTTTGCAACCCAGTCCTCACATCCAGCCACAACACCTTCAGGTTGTCCACCTGCAGCCCAAGATCCCTGCATCCGCAGCATTTTGTGTTTGCGACAAGTCCTCTCGACCAGCCACAACACCTGAAGGTTGCTAACCTGCAGTTCAAGATCCCTGCATCCCCAGCTCCTCACATCCAGCCACAACACCTGCAGGTTGCCCAAATCCTCGCATCCAGCCACAACACCTGCAGGTTGCCAACCTGCAGCCCAAGATCCCTGCATCGCCAGCATTTGTTGTTGGCGACCCAGTCCTCACATCCAGCCACAACACCTGCACGGGTTGCTAACCTGCAGCCCAAGATCCCTGCATCCCCAGCATTTGTTGTTTGCGACCCAGTCCTCACATCCAACCACAACACCTGCAGGTTGCCAACCTGCAGCCCAAGATCTCTGCATTCCCAGCATTTGTTGTTTGCGACCCAGTCCTCACATCCTGCCACAACACCTGCAGGTTGCCAACCTGCAGCCCAAGATCCTTGCATCCCCAGCATTTGTTGTTTGCGACCCAGTCCTCACATCCAGCCTTGTTTGCAGTCCTCACATCCAGCCACAACACCTGCATGTTGCCAACCTGCAGTGTCCTTGAGCGTGAAGGGGCAAGAAGCAAGTACTAGGATTTGCCAGTTCATATTTCATGTGTTGTTCAATCTCCATATCTTGCACCTGAGGCAAAATTGGTTGACTATTCAGTCGTCCGACTTTTGTTCTTTTCACGAATAGCAACAAGTGCGCACACCAGTGCTTGCAGGCGAAGCTTTCAACATGCATCAGCATGGTGGAGACGCAACAGAAGAGCTGAGCGTGGCAAAGTGACAAGCTCGTCCCACGGCAAAAGGAGTGAACAGCTGTGTGGACACGGATTCTAACTACAGCACTTTGCGGTTGCACGTGATTTCATGACCATTCTTGCTTGGCTCAGGCATGATGACATGCAATCTGAGAAGGGCATATCAATTTGATGAGACAAGCCCAGACAACAGCAGACGTAGCCCCCCTAGCTTCAACTTTGCCCTAAGAGAGGTGCAGGTCTAACAACCAGATTGCTTTGCAGCGGGTATGGTGACAGCTGCTTGGTGAATGGCAGCCGCCGATGAAAAGATTCTATGCAACCAGCCAATGCTGCAGTGGCTTCGACGAAAAGCTGTGCAATCTTATACTTCACAAGTTGTGCCAGCCGGACGTCACTTCAATCAGTCCTTGCAGAGTTTGATTTGGTCATACTTGCGCTTTGCCATTTGTGTCCCTCGTGATGTGCCATCAGTCTCAGCAGCACTAGGCACGATTGAGGGATGGCCTCCCACAACAATCCTGGTGTCCCCCGGAAATTATGACGAAGCGCTTGTTATAGACAAGCCAGCAGAGTTGGTAGCGTTGAGAGGTCCTGCTGTGACCCGACTTGGAGCTGTGTCATTCAAGGGTGCAGGGTCAGGCTCGCGCTTGAGTGGTTTCAAGATTGAAGATGCTGTGCACATCCACTGTGGAGACCCGGTCCTCGAGCGCTGCCACATCTCGTCTCATGTCACGGTGAAGGGTGCTGCCAGCCCACAACTGGAACGTGTATCGTTTACCTCATGCTTGCGAACAGCACTCTGCCTTCGTGAGCAGTCCACTAGTTCCGTCTCGAAGTGCAGCTTTGAAGGCAACCACAGCACTTGCATATCTGTGCGGGACACCGCCAGCGTGTCGGTTTTTCGAAGTCACCTGATGAAGAATGGGGCGCCAGTCATTCATGCTCGCGATGCAAGCAGTCTTCTCATCGAAGACAGCACGATGCAGTCGAACAACGGTTGTGGGGTGCTAGTGCGCGGAAAGTCTCGAGCAGCAATCAAATCCAGCAGGCTTCATGGCCACAAAATGGCTGCTGTTGCTTTTCAGCATGAGTCCACCGGTTCACTGACAAACTGCCAGCTGGAAGAAAATGATGGCGCAGTTATTTACGTAAATGGGTCGGCTGCGGTTACGATTGAGGGCAACACTATACAGAACAATGGGAGGTTGCCCCCTGTCATTCAATTTGGCGCTGCATCAGGGCCAGTAAAAGCGAAAATTGTTGCACAACGAGAGGACAATACCAACAGGCTGACACACAAACTGGCTTACATTGAAGGCAAGGCTGGAGAGGAGTGGGTTGATGTGGATGAGGGAAAGCACAGACTCCGAAACCAGTCTGGCAACACAGATGTGCCGTACACTCTTCAAGAGCCGATTCGTGCAGGTCATGTTCACGATGGCGAGGGCGGAGCTCTGAAAGGTGTGAGCTTGAGCAAGGGGACAAAGAGATGTGCAATCGCCATCAAGGAGCAGGCTCAGGCAACCATTAGGCACAATCATATCAAATCGAACGACGGGTATGGAATTCTGGCCAGTGATAACACCATACCATTCATAGAGGACAATTGCCTGACAGATTGCCGCCACTCAGCTATTGTGGCTGAAGGTGCTGCTGGCGGCCACATTGTCAGAAACACCTTGAGCAACGGCACAATTGGAATTCAGATCCAGGGTGCAGCGGCTCCCCTTGTGGAGGAGAATAGGGTGTACAGCCAGAAGAATTTCGCAATCAGGATTGCTGGCACATCTGCGTGCGTTATAAGGAAAAACCACCTGACCACCAGGTGCCAAGCCATCATGATCGTCGAGAGTGCTGCTCCTATTCTGGACAGAAATAGCATCAACTCTTTGGAGGGGGGCAAGCCCTTGATGCCCGAGCCTCGCTGTGCAGAAGATTCGGGCAGCTCAGTCAACACCCGGAAACGCCGGCATAATTCGCAAAGCTCAGGCGCGACCGAAAAGGAAGCCCTGCAACTCTTGGCATGAAGATTCGAGCTGGATGATGCCTTGGACTGCCAGAGAGGAAGGTCATTGCAACTGAGGGCTTTCACTAAAGCTATTCAATTTGTATCAATTTGTATCAATTTGTGTTTGTCCAATCATTGGCAGAGCCCTTAGGGCCTTGGGGCTCGAGCTGAGCTGTTCTGGCCTTGGCTTCGCTGGCTGATGGCGTGCCTTGGGATGCTGTAAGCAGGCCAGCCCATTGCAAGCGCGCATGGCACCGGCGGCCTCAGTGACTGCGTTTGCCAGGTGGGGACTGACCAAGAATGCCAAAGAGCAAGCGCAGCCAGGATGATGAGGCACATGTGCTCTGAATCTTTGTCACAAATTGAACCTGGCCTTCAATGTTAAACCCATGCAGGAAGAGGGGGTGATTGTCGCAGCTGCCAGCAAAATCCTGGGTGGCTTTAGGCTCGGGTGCCGTTACACCAAATGGACATGGCGCAACCGTCTCTTTCCGAAGCGGGCTAGGGCATGCCTGGGAAAATTCTCATCCAGCAAGCCGCCGGAGCCAGCCACAGAGGCATGGCGCTTGTGGCGAGCTCGCGACCCTCGAGCCGCCGCAGGTAGTGGAGCTGCTGCAGGACATGAAGATCACCCCCCGCTTGCTTTCGCCTCGGGGAATCAGAGGAATCAGATGAATCTATGTGACTCACTGGGCCTTGAGTGCAGCGTTGACTCTTCGTATCTCCGTGCATGTTCATGCTGTGTTACGTGTTAGGCATTGCGACCCGTGCACCGGAGAGCGCACGCAACAGTATTCAGCAGCCAAGCTCCAAGGGTCATGCAGTTCCACAAGATCTTCAAGAGGCAGCCTAGATAGAGTGCAGAAAACAGAGATGTAATTGTAAAATTGTAAGCGTGGTTTTCTCCAGCATGCGAGGTTGAAGCAGTATGATGCCATTACACTGCGAGTTGGACCAAATGAGGAGCGCTTCAGATAGCGTGTGTTCCTGCTTGCGTTGCTTGCATCAATTCACGAAGACAGAAAGGTCAGCACATCCAGCATGACCCGGCTAGTGAAGAACCTTAGCAGCAGCAAACGTTTCTGGGACGAGTGCTGAGTGACAGACATGCGAGCCCAGGAACCATCGCAAGTGGGCACGCCTTGCTCGGCTTTTGCCTGTTTTTTTGTGGCTTTTTTTTCTTGCCCAGGTGGCCAAGATCATGATCCTGTTGCTTGACTTGGCAGGTTTTAGAGATACGGCCGTGCCCTGATTCCAAGCCCTTCTTTTGCAAATTCTCGGCAGTTAGGTGACCTGGGACGGCTTTCTCTATGTCACAATGCAGCCGTGCCTTAGTGATGGGCTGCACACCCCGAGACATCCAGATATCCTCAGCCTTGTGTCGATACGTGAGGTTCTGCGCCTTGTCCAAGCTTGAGCTTTGCCAGGCGCACTTTGCCTTTGGCGAGTGGAGTTAATTCCAGTGACATTGCCAACCGGATGGGACCCTGTGCGGAGGTGATGTTCTACGTGGTGTGCAAGGAAATGAAGAGCTGGACGGTGCCCTTGTGCTAAGCAGTTCTGCGCACCATCTCATTGAAGGGCGAAAGCCATCAGCGATAAAGCCAAATTAAAAGAAGCCGACTAGGTGCATTACCTCACCAGCAGCCAGCTGGAAGATTTCTACGATGACTACTACCAATGTTCCTGCCTGAGCAAATGCAGCTGTTCAGCTATAGCAAACCATGCGCTGAGGCCCAGTAGCAGCGTTCAACACGAGCTCTATTGACTTCGCCAAGCTACCGCTGGCCAAGCAACTTGGAATGCAGGCTGCCCTGCGGGCTCCTTTAAAGCTTTGGCTTAAACTCTTCCCGATCGCCTGGCGAAAGCATGCGGCGCAGAAACTTCACAGACGTGGGGTAGCAATTTCATTGCTCACGCTGAGGTATCGCATGCAGGACTTCATCGAGCTGTGTTATAGATTCAGCTCCTTCCTGAGGTATTGTTCATGGCTCGTGGGAAGCATCGCGTTTCCACCGAGGCCAGCTCATCAATCCATGCATGCACCTTCAGAGGTCCCTGCAACAGTCTGGGCCCAAAGAGGTGTCGGGGTGTGTTGCCAATTCCTCCCCACCTGTACAAAGGTCGCTGCCCTCTTTGCGGTTTTGGTCGGACTATGACAGGGTGAAGGCGATTCTCGTTGGGCCGTGCTGTTTGAAGTAGGAAAGTCTGGCAGGTTCGGTGGCTTGTGTGTTCTAGCACGTTGCTTGGGCTGCCAAGGTGTACAACCGCAAAATTACAATTGACTTCTTTCGGTTTAAGAAAGTGACCAACATGCCCGAGCCTCGATTTCAGCTGTGGTGCCTTGGAGTGATGAAGAACAGGCCCAAAGCAGATGCGCAGATGCTACCGGGTGTTCGACAGGTTGGAGCTCATGCAACGACAGGCTGGCAAAAGCCAGGGGCTGAGTCGTGAACAGGGCTTTGCTCGCAGAATTTTCTGTCAAGGTCTGGGCCCCATACAGCAGCACCGGTTTGCAGTCAACGAGCAGTTTGCAGCCGCTGCCTCGTGTTGAAAAGCAAGCGCCTTTTGGAAAAGCACGATGGTGCGAACCGATTCATAGGTGGTAGCCGCTTCAGGTTCTGGAGAACTCAAGCCTGGGCGCGGATCACAGTGAAGAGCCCCTTTGAGCACCTGAGTCCAAGCTTGAGAGACCAAGTCTCACTTGATTGCCCAGCAGGCTTCAAGGACAATATTGAAAAGTTCCGCTCCACTGTGCTCAAGGCCAGTAGGGAACTGCTCAATTTGCCTCGAAGTGAGATTGGCAGGCGATGGAACTGTGCGCTACTTGAGCTCTCTTTGCGACATAGTTGGTCATGCAGTGTTCCATCAGGTGCCGCCCAACTCAGAGTGGGGTTCTGCCTCTGCCAACGTTGGGCGTGCGGCAGCCTCAGTCTACTTGTCATCGGCTCTGTTGCTTTCCAGCCGTCGAGGCACCCTCCTACAAAGACAAAGTTGCAGCGAGAGATGCAACTGCTGCGGCTCCCAGATCTGTGTCCTCGACCTGTGCCGTGGTGTTGCTCAAGTTGAGGCCACAGTGGATGCATCGACATTTGGAGATGAATGAGGCACGATTCTTCCACAAGCACAGTCCATGCCTTGCTAGTGCTGAGTCGCACGAGGCGCCTGGAATTCATGGCGGACACGCGCTGGGGTAGCCGTGCTCAGGTTTGTGACATTTTGTGACTTCTAAAGGACATGTGCATTGGACGGAGCATTTGCCTCCAGCTGAGGCACGCGGCGCAGCTTGAAGTCTTGGCCTCGGAGTCCACTGGCTTGACTTGAGACTGATGCATGATGCCGTCAGGCAAATAAGCGCGAAAAGGTGCGAGGCTGAGCGCAGCTGCTTCAAGCACTTGGCGCAGCAAGCCCATGACTGGTTTGATAGATGCTGAGTTGAGCAGCCTCGGTGCATTGATCACTCGACACTTTCTCAGACCCCCTAACGGTCACGAGCTAACATATATGCACATCCGCGCATACATGGACGGACTACAGAAATCAAGAGGCTACAGCGCCACACAGAGACACAGAGACATTCAGACGCACAGAGACGCACGGTGACCCACATACAAAATTTCAGAGACAGGGACAGACATAGGCATGACACGCACACAGACACGCACAGACACACAAAGATCCACACAGAAAGGCACACAGATAGGAGTAGGCGCATAGATAGACGCACAGATAGACGCATAGATTGGCAATCAAATAGGCACACATTTAGGCGTACGCACATGTAGGCGTATAGACAGGCACACATGCCGGCGCATGCACACGCACAAACACAGATACACGCAGCTCGCCCTGAACTTGCAAGCACGCACTCGCTAATGCACACACGGTGCGCAGATGTGCTTACGCGCTCGACAGGCACCCATGCACTTTCATGCATACGAGCGCTTGCACAAATGACGCGGGTACATTCACCCACTCACGCACGCCCACGCGTGCAGCACGCACACACTTGCACGCTGGCACGTAGGCCCACACGTGCCCAAACGCACACGCCAGACGCACGCACACGCACGACATGCACACCCACACTTGCGCTCACACCCCATCACCCTCTTGCCATGCACTCCCACCTACCTACCCACAAACGCATACACGCACGCGCGTACGCGCACATGCCAACACGCGCCCGGGCAGGCACCCGCGCACACATGCAAACACACACACACAGACACACAAACACCTGCATGCACGCATGTACGCATGTTTGCAGGCACAAAGGCACGCACGGACGCACGCACGCACGCACACCCGCATGCACGTACGCACACGCGCACGCACTTGGATGTTGTTCCTTTTGCCATTTGTTGAAGTAGCTGAGTGGCTGGTGTTGCCATTCGCATGGATGGCATTTCCGATGCTGGGGTATATGCTGGTGAAGGGATGTTGCCCATTTTGTTGGCCACTGTGGTTGAAAGTGTTGTCAGGAAGCCCTCCTGATCTGAATGTGTTTTGTCCTGCTGCACCCAACCATGAAGTGTTGTGTTTGTTGAGGCACAGGCATGCAGTTGCACGCGCGCACTCGGACAAGCAGATTCACACGCGCTTGTACGCGCACACACACACACCACCACCACCACCACCACCACCACCACCGCAGCAGCAGCAGCAGCAGCAGCAGCAGCAGCAGCAGCAGCAGAAGCAGCAGCAGCAGCAGCAGCAGCAACAAACAACAAACAACAAACAACAAACAACAAACAACAAACAACAATCAACAAACAACAAACAACAAACAACAAACAGCAAACAGCAAATAGCAAACAGCAAACAGCAAACAACAAACAACAGCAACAATCAACGAGCAACAAGTAATACGCAAGGACAAGGGCCATGACAATGACGACCTTGCTTCTGCACAGGGCTGTCGTGAGGTGCCAACCATGCTCCAAGCATCGCAGATGCCAAAGTGCCGAGCTTGTGGCAGCAACTGCGCATTCAACGACGCACCACAATGAGGTCCGTGGAAGAAGCAGAGGCTTTAGTGCGCTCAACTTTCGGAGAGATGGCAACGTGCACTACTTGGCATTACATCCAGCTTCGTCGCTGGGTTATTTGCCGGCGAATGCCCTGAGTTGACACATTTCTCCACTGGTGGTCGTGGCAGGTGCACTGTTCTAAAACAATGGAGTATGTTCAGAGTGCTGCGCGTCTTCGAGAACTCAGGAGGAGCAAGATCAAGCAAATCGCGGCAAATCTATTTCAGCATGTTTGCTGCCCAGTTTGCATCGTTTGCATTGAGCACGTAGCAAGCTTGTCCACATGCTGCCTGCGGCCGCGACAGGCCGCAAAGCCACCAAGTGAAGACAGCAGACAGAAGTCTGTTGTTCGAAGTCAGGACGCACAACTTGAATGTGACAAGGGGCATGCGTGGCCAAAGTAAGCGTGCCGCTTCAGAAAATCGTCAAACCAAAACAACAAATGGACATTCCGAAAGGAGCTCGAGTTTATCCGGATGAGCCGTCAAGAGGTGGAGCCACCAAACCTCGTGCGCACCATGTACAGGCAGGGAGCCTTCGAATCTGTCCCCGTGCGACAAATTCAGTACAACTGGAAGCGGCAGGCAGATGCTGCCGGTTGTTTTCAATCTTCACTTTGCTTGATGCACAGGCTTTTTCAGGAGGAGCTCATCAATAGGACGCCGAAGGAGGCGGCAATCTAGCAGGTGCCTACAGGGTCTCGGATTTAGGCTGGGGCATCGCTCGCGATGCAAGTAGACATTAGGCCGAGTATTGTTTCACTTTACGATGGCTGTGCCATAGGCAAGGCCAGGCTTTGGGTGCTGCCTTGCAAACGAGTTGTCAGCCCAAGATTTGTTGCATGACAGGCCCTTTCCTTGGCTTGGCAAGGCATCACCCCTCTCACTTGCCTCTATGAATTCCGGAGCTATTTGCATGACAACCCAAAATGGATTTGGAAAGAGTGCATTGGCAACAGCACTTGGGGTTGCAATGCACCAATGTTCGAAGGCCTTGCTCAGCAACCATGGCGGAGAAAAACAAGTAAAAGCCCAAGTAAGCCGCACAAGCCCAGCAGCACCTGCATGCGTCTTTTGGGCAGCTTGCATTGCTAGCCAGCTACCCGCTTAACTTGCCAACTCGGGGTTCTGGCAGCCCAGCCATTCAGATACCAATCATTTTTTGTTCAGCCTCTCAGCTACGGCACTTATCCTGACTGCAAACTTGTAGTGCCACCCATTGAAACGGCCTGCATGGAGCAAAGCTTTGAATGCCGGAACTGATTGCAGGAGAAGTCTTTGCCAGGTTTTGAATGCTGAGTACTCACTACTCGAGCTGCATTGAAGCACTTAATGAACAGTGGCCCCTTGCGGCCTCCAGGCATTCAACCAAGCAATCTGTTCAGACAGATTTTATCAGATCGTCTCCACTGCAAGGGGGCAGCCTTCGTTTCCTTTGCTGCCGCATCTCGGGAACTTGGTGTGCATGTGATTGTGTGTGGGTGTGCGTGTGTGTGTGTGTGTGTGTGTGTGGATGTGTGTGTGTGTGGATGCGCGTGAGCGTGCGCGTCCGCGTCCGCGTGTGCGTGCGCGTGTGCGTGCGCGTGTGTGCGTGCACGCGTGTGCGTGCGCGTGCGCGCGTGCGTGTGCGCTTGAGAGGGTCTGACTGCATTGCCGCTCACGTTCCATCATTGCTGACACTCGGACTTGAGCTTCTTTGATCACTCTGTAGAAGTGTTTTGCAAGTTGTACTGACAAGCGTTGCGGCCAGTTGCAGGTGCCATGTCCTGTTGATTTTTCTTCCCATCAACTTTCATACCATATAGCCACGGAGAATAGGCGAACTGTCGAAGAAAAAAAAGTAAGCTTGTGCAACAAGCCAAAGCGCAAAAAGCATGCAATCATATGCGATGTATAGGCACAGACAAACTGAAACAGAGACAGGCACAGGGAGAGAGACAGAGAGAAAGAGAGAGACAGAGAGACGCAGAGAGAGCGAGACAGAGAGACAGAGAGAGAGAGAGAGGGAGACACTGAGAGAGAGAGAGAGAGAGAGAAACAAACAAACCCACAGAGAGAGACCTACAGAGACCCACGCAGAGCACCACATAGAAAGATGCACTGAAAAGCATGCAATGCACACAGAACACTGGAGACAAACAGACAGACGGAAAACACTCGGACAGAGAGACACCCAAAAGGCACTGGATAGTGGCCTGCGCCCAGAGGCGCGATCGCGCACACATGCAGGTGCCCACAGGGAAGCAGGCAAGCTCAGCGCTCATGCAGGAAAGGCAGGCACGAACGCACAAATAGCAAACAAGTTTTAGGGCAAAGACAGGCAGACACAGACACACAGAGACACACCGACACACAGAAACGCAGACATACAAACATATAGACATACGGGCACAGACAAAGAACAGACACGGGATACGGACAAACAGATTCATAGACAAACAGGCACAGAGACAGGCGCATTTTCACATTGAAGCACGAACCCTCCAGTTGGGCCTGCAGGCTGCATTTTGTGAAAGTTGCAGCTTTTTGTTGAACTACGCTGTTGAAGCCTGCCTGTTTTGCTGACACATCAAAACACCTTGCGCCTACTGTCGCACTACTGTCGCAGAAGTGCCCTGCAGGCCAGCGTGCCCACCGCTGTCGCCTGAAGCCAGTTGGCAGCATATTGTTGACTTCGAGTGCTGTTATGGCGCACCTTTTCATACAGTCGGACATGGTCATGTGGAGGTATGTACGCATTTTTGTCAACAATTATTTGGTTTGTCGACCATTGACCCCAATGAAACTGTGTTCATCAGATCCACGCAGTCACCAGTGCTGACAGGTTCATGGAGTATTTGGGATGGACTCTGACGACCTTGCGGCTTTCTTGGTTGCTGGCCCGCGAGGGAGCGGCAAATCATTCCTGTGCACTGTCCTCGCACACTTGCTCAAGGGTCAGTGCGTCAGCCAAGATGAGGCTATTAGCTCTCAGGGGCTGAGCAAGGAGCTATTGTTCCTGCAGCTGGTACAGTCCAAGGCCGCCCGGCCGAGCATAAGACACCTTTTTATAGATCTGGCGAGCGCTTCGCACACGGCAGTAGCCGAAGCAGTGTTTGCTGGCTTCAAGGCAAGAAAGTCTGGAAGTGTGAAGCTGGCGGCGATAAATCTCACTGACAAAGAAGACCTGACGGGAGAACTTTGCTTTTCTCGCATTATGAAGAGATCATTGCGGCACATTGGAATAATACCACAAGCGGCTCACATAAGAGCAGTCTTGGAAACGGCTCGAGCAGAGCCACAGCTTCAGGATATGGAATTTGATGTAACGGCTGATCTTGACATGCGAATGTCACCCACCTCCATGGCGGCCAATGCATTACAACAGCTGTTGCCAGTAACAGGCCAAACCAGTTTGCCAGCAATTTCCTCAGAGAAACTATGCCAGGCGGTGGCAATGGCGGAAGCATGCGAGCAGGATTTTGCTAAGAGATGGGTCACGCTGTATTGGGTTGTAGAGCTTGAGCCATCCGTCGATTTGTGGGGCTTGGAAGCTCTGGCCGATTTTCTCGCACAAGCAAAGCATGCAGTACAGACACAGCACCCCGGGGTGGTGCAAGCAGTAGAGCCTCATGTCACGCTTAGTTGGGAGGAGTGCAATCCTCAGCTTGAGAAATGCGAAGGCGAGGATATGGCGATGACAGTTCACAGCCTGTGCTACGATGTCCTGTTGGGCCTTATAGCCTTGAAGGTGTCCCTAGACCACGCGTCACTTTGCCAAAACCCACACCCCCACATCACAGTTGCGAAGCTGCCGGGCGTGGCCGCAAAGCAGTCAAACGACCTTTTGCTGCGAGAGAGCCGTGGTGATACCCGAATCACGACTCTGGAGCTCCCAAGCCCGGTTGAAGTCAAGGGCACTATCCAGCGCCGTTTGGATTGTGAATCGATGGCCGCTGCCACAGCTGCTCTGGCTACAACACTGCCCAGAGGGAACCCACTTTGTGAGTTCGGACTTGTCGCAACTCCATTTGCGTTTGATGTTTGGGCAGAGGTCAATTCTGAGATCACGATATCGGCATGCTTGGCTGACTTGGGGGCCCTTGTGTCACAGCCGCTGCTGCATTGCAAGTGGCCACCGCCTTTGCGGGGCAAGCTCTGGCTTACCTTCCATGAGAAGCCGCTGTCCGCGAGAAGTATCTCATTGCTTGACACCCTCGAAAGCAAAGGGAGCGTGTCAGCAGTACATGTGGCCATCGCCTACTTTTACAGTTCCGAAAATATTTTGCAGAAAACAGAATCAAAGATGCAGCGCGATTTGGAGGAGCGGTTATCTGGTCGAGTTGCTGCAGCTTTGCTCCATGCCCGGCAAGCGCCTCTTTTGCAGCGACGCCTTGGACAGACTAGAAGCCCCTTGCCTGGTGGGTCATTCCAATCCAACATGATGTGAGGGAGGGCCCCACTTGGGTTTGCTTTGCCATTCTTGCTTGTCCCCAAGCGTTTGTGTGCTGGTGGGTTGGGTTGGGTTGTGTTGGGTTGGGTTGGGTTCTGTTGGGTTGTGTTGGGTTGTGTTGGGTTGGGTTGTGTTGGGTTGGGTTGGGTCGTGTTGGGTTTTGTTGGGTTGGGTTGTGTTGTGTTGGGTTGTGTTGGGTTGTGTTGGGTTGTGTTGGGTTGGGTTGGGTTGTGTTGTGTTCGGTGGGGTGCAGTTTTGTTGGGTTGTGTTGGGTTGTGTTGGGTTGGCTGGTTGTGTTGAGCTGCGTTGGGTTGTGTTGTGTTGGGTTGGGTCCGGGTTTGTCGGGTTGGTTGGGTTAGGTTGGGTTAGGTTGGGTCGGGTTAGGTTGGGTTGGGTTGTGTTGGGTTGTGTTTGGTTCTGTTGCGTTGTGTTGGGTTTTGTTTGGTTGGGTTCGGTTGGGTTGGGCTGTGTCAGCCCACCTCCATGGCTAGGTCGCCAGGCGAGTGGCGAATGAATTGGCATTTGGAATGCGACAGAAGCACGTTGTTGGTTGGGGTGCCTATGTTTGCTTGCCTGCCCGCCCGCCATCACCCGCCTGCCTGCCTGCGCGTTGATCTTTCTGTTTCATTCCTCGTGTTTGTTGTAAGCTGAAGAGGGCTAGGAGCACATCGGAAATCACAACCTGCTCAGGTTTTTGTTTGCGGTGCTTCACAGCGGGAGCTGGCGCGGACCTGCCAACATTGCAAAAAGCATTGGCAGCAGTTATCACTGCCTCGCTTGGATGGGTGTTGGATGATCAAGCAGAGCTGAAGCTCAATGCCTACTTTCAGGATGACTGGATTTTGCTTGGCTTCAAG